TTACACTATCCACTCCTATTTCTCTTGAAAGAGAAGTGATTGGTCACACACTTCTCACCCCGCTCCAATCCGTGGTTACCATCGAGGGTACACGGATTCAGTGACTGGTCTACGTTTTGGGAAGACGCACTGGGAGGGACCCACCCTTCCTAGTGGCAGTCGAGCATTGTAGACGTTCTGTTTCATTTTCCTTTACCTATACTTTGTATATGTTTTTATACGCTTTGTATAGGGGGATATGGGACAGGAAATGAGTAAGCCCGCTAGGGGCTGGCTCGCGTGTGATTTAGTTGAAGATAGAGAAGGTGAAGAACTGGTTAAAAATGTTGCAAAGATTGCTAAAGTGTGTAAAATTGCTGTGCCTTCATGTGGTAGATTACAGCCAGAAAGCTGGCGTAGATTACTGACAGAGAAAAAAGGCAAGCTTACAGATAATGATTTATTGCGTACTGCTGAAGCATGGTACAGAGTAGAAAGGCTATCCAGCAGGAGGGTTGGGTAGAGGAAGAGATAAATCATAAAGGGGTAAGAACTGTATGTATATCATAATAATTGTGTTACTGGGAAGTTATCCCAGCCAGTGCCCTGTCGGGGGTTCCAGGAGGTGACCACTTCCATCATCCTGTCAGTAATGACCGAAATGTAGCTGACCATGGTCACCATCCCACCCCAATCTTAAAACGCTGTGGGGTTTTTTTGTATTTTGTGTTAGCCATTACCCTGGTAGAGGGTGGGGGTTTAAATGAAATGTTGTGTTTTTGCTTTGTAATGTAATTGTCCTTCTGTCTTGTTACTGTACAGCGTTGACATGGTTAAATTCGTGCTGGCAGGCGGTCTCTCTCTTGTTCCACTCAAATCCCCCTCTGCTAAAACACCCCCCCCCTCCCCTCGCTTCTGTGAGACGCGGGGGGGGGAGGGGGCGGAGGGGGGTGGTGACATGCTTGCGATTTAGGTCTGTCTCTTCGGTGTTCTGTAGAGTTATTCAGAAGCTACTGATAAGATTTTAGCAATGAAATTTTTGCTAGAAAATATTCTAATTGTGTATTTTGTACATGCTGTCTTCCTTAAATTCCCACATATTATGAACAAGAAAGTTACAATTACTAAAAGAAATTTCTAATAAACAAAGTTTTCTTGAACAAATGGTAATACAATTAAAGATTGGTCTCAAGATGTTTTGATCTAATTGAAAAGAACCAGAAAACATTATGAGCCTAACTACTAACAAATGGATAAGGGGGTAGTGTGTTCCAATCTGTCTTTATTAGATAATGTTAACCACCAAGATTAAAGACTGACTAACATATTTTTTTAATGTAAGCCCAGATATTTTATTATTATATATGCATAGAAGTCGAGACTTTGGGCATTATAGTGTATTGATTCTAGATCTGTTACTAGCAGCAAGTGCTTAGCCTTATGCCTATCCCACGCATGCTTAAACACTCATTTACTGTGTTAACTTCTATCACTTCAGCTGGAAGGCTATTCCATGCATCCACTACCCTCTCAGTAATGTAATACTTCCTGATAGTATTTTTATTTAAACCTTTGTCCCTCTATTTTTGAGACTATGTCCTCTTGTTATGGTAGTTTTCCTTCTTTTAAATATAGACTCCACTTTAACTGTGTTGATTCCCTTTGTGTATTTAAATGCTTTTATCATATTTCCCCTGTCTCGTCTTTCCACTAGGCTATACATGATAAGATCCTTTAACCTTTCCTGGTAAGTTTTATCCTACAATCCATGAACCAATTTAGCAGCCCTTCTTTGAACTTTCTCTAAGGTATCCATGTCCTTCTAAGGATATGGTCTCCAGTACTGTATACAGTACTCCAAGTGAGGTCTCACCAGTTTTCTGTACAATGGCATGAGCACTTCCCTCTTCCTACTGCTAATACCTCTCCCTATACAACCAAGCATTCTGCTAGCTTTTCCTGCTGCTCTATTACATTGTACATTTTCATTAACAGCCAGAAACTGGAAACCAGAAAGGATAAATTAATGTATAGCTAAATGTAAAGCTTAACAAAACCTCCATTATCTTTTTCATTTATCTCGCAGAAAAACAGTTATTTGTCTATTTTGTAAGTTTTAATACATTATCAGTGAAGAGTAAAGTAAGTTTTATCCCTTTTGCGAGACATAAAATTGCGATAATGTATATTTGTGATGTAAGTAAGAGTTATATTTTATGATAGGTTGAAAAAAAAAAAGAGAGAGTCAGGGATAGCGTCTGTCTCTACGAGCAAAAGTCTGGTGTGGGAGATGTAGTGGACTAGCCACTGCGGGATACCCACGGAGTGAAGCGTTCGAGGCCTGTACAGACAGATGAGCTTGTTAGCCTTTTATTATTTTTCTCTAGGGAAAGCATAGGGCCAGTTAACAGTTGTTGTACATGTGCTATTTGCAGCCTCCATTGCATTTCTACTTAATTCTGATTTCTGATGTATCCTCCACTGCTACATACCCATTCGGAGACTCTCCTCCTCCTTCTCCTCCTCCTTCTCCTCCTCTTTCTCCTCTCCTCTACTCCACCTTCTCCTCCTCCTACTCCTCCCTCTACTTCACCTTCCACTCCTCCTATTCCTCCCTCCCACTCCACCTTCCCCTCCTCCTACTCCACCTTCTCCTCCTCCTACTCCTCCCTCCTCCTCTTATTCAATCCTACTCCTCCTATTCCTCCTTCTACTCCACCTTCTCCTCCCTCTACTCCACCTTCTCCTCCTCCTACTCCTCCTCCTACTCCTCCTCCTACTCCACCTTCTCCTCCTTCTACTTCTCTCTCCTCTTCCTTCTCCTCCTCTTTCTCCTCTCCTCTACTCCACCTTCTCCTCCTCCTACTCCTCCCTCTACTTCACCTTCCACTCCTCCTATTCCTCCCTCCCACTCCACCTTCCCCTCCTCCTACTCCACCGTCTCCTCCTCCTACTCCTCCCTCCTCCTCTTATTCAATCCTACTCCTCCTATTCCTCCTTCTACTCCACCTTCTCCTCCCTCTACTCCACCTTCTCCTCCTCCTACTCCTCCCTCTACTTCACCTTCTACTCCACCTTCTCCTCCCTCTACTCCACCTTCTCCTCCTCCTACTCCTCCCTCTACTTCACCTTCTACTCCTCCTACTCCTCCCTCCTACTCCACCTTCTCCTCCTCCTACTCCTCTCTCTACTCCACCTTGTCCCCTACCTGACAACATTATATTTTGAAAAAAAAAAAAAAAGTTGCTCTGGCCCCTCTTCCGCCACTTCCCAGGGGGGAATACCACACTAACAAAAAAAAAATAAAAAATTATTATTCAGACTGTTTTGGGCACTCTCAAGGAAATAGTGCGGTCCTGACCCAGATTCCCATGGAAATAAGACACCTGTATCATCACTGGGAGGTGGCTGCACCTCATGTTTTCTTCACTAAGTCCCCAGAAATCTCATAAAAGGAACCTGACTCAATAAAACATGAAACACTAAAAATCGATATCAGCTCTCTACAGAGGGGGGGCAGCAAGAGAACTGTAAATGGAAAGACAAATACCCTCAATCTCACACAGAAATAGGTGAGGATATCTCTTCTACTACTCCTCATGGTTGCTTTGAACAGATGAAAGAAGAAATAAGACACCTCTCAACAAGGCATGCAGTAGCTTTGCCAGATCCTGACTCCACTCTGTTTGCGGATGAAGAGGAAAGGTACCATACTGGATTTGCTGTTGCTACAGAAGATCAGGTACGTCAAGCATCTTTACTTTCCTCACCCACATCTGCTCAAGACACCAAATTGACAGCCTTCTCAGTGGCATGCAAATTGTTTGTTTCTGAAAGACAAGGCCATGCAACAGGAGTGCTCACTCAGGCCCATGGTCCTGGAGGCCGCCAAGGCCTATTGGATTTTTCTCCTGCCAACTGGATATTGTGGCCAGAGGACGTCCCACTTGCCTTCGGGCCGTCTGTGCTGCCAGAGAGCTCATTGAAAGAACTGGAGATCTTGTCCTTGGCCACCCCCTGGTTGTCTTGGCCCCCCATGACATTTCTGCCATAGTCAACCAGGTCCAACTTAAGCATGTTACTCCTGCTAGGCATCTTCGCCTTCAATGTCATCTTTTGTTGCCTGACAACATTACCTCCAAAGATGTCAAGTTCTCAATCCGTCCACTCTTCTGCCACTCCCTGAGGGGGGTGTATACTACGGATTCATCATGGACGAAACTTATGTTTTTCTTCTCACTGGCACCATCAAGAAGGAAATGCATCCCAACCTATCCTTTCATGATGGACAAGCACTCCTTCATGACGGAGCAGGATATGCCTTCTGTACCATGTGGTACAAATCAAACATCACTCCTGAAACCTGCTATGAAGATGAACTCTATCATCTGGTCGAAGTAAAACTCACTGCACAAGACTTCTACTGTGATTCTGAAGGCAACAGTATGGTCTTGATTCATCTACCTCCGGAACTCAAGCATTTGTACCGTCATTGGGACACTGCCATTCCACATGTCCCTGTGACCAAGTTGAAAACAATATCATGGAATGATCTTGGGCCTATGGCAAAAGCATGGGCCACTATGGACGAATCACAGCTACAGGAAAATGGTGTTGTCAAATATCCAACAACTGACCACCTAAAAGCATGGCCGCGTCATTTCCTGGAGAATGAGTTCCAAGATTTAACCATAGTGAATGACTACGACCCAGATACACCTCATGACTGTTTTGAACAGATGAAAATGGAAACAACACATCTACCAACTGTGCATGAAGACCCATTGGTAGATCCCGATCTCACCCTGTTTGTGGACGGCTCAAGATATGCTGATGAAGAAGGAAGATACCATACAGGATATGCCGTAACCACAACAGATGAAATTGTCAAATCATCATCTTTACCATCAACTATGTCTGCACAAGAAGCTGAATTGCAAGCCCTGACTTCAGCATGCAAGATCTCTGAAGGAAAGCGCGCCAATATCTACATGGATTCAAGATATGCACTGGGCGTGGCTCACGACTTTGGATTAATTTGGAAAACAAGAGGATTTCTTACCACCGCCGGTACACCAATCAAGCACGGTTCCGCGATCAAGGAGCTGATGGACGCCCTCCTACTCCCAGAAGAAGTGGCTATTTTGAAGATAAAAGCACATGGGAAGTTGGACTCAGATGAAGCAAAAGGCAACCATCTAGCTGATCAGGCTGCAAAACAAGCTGCACAAGAACCACAGGAAGTGGAAAGAAGAGTGTCCGGAAATGAAGAAACTCCCATATTTACTCTGCAGACTCTTCCAACTGACCTGAAAATCCTGCTGGAACAACAGGCTACAGTTGCCCCTGAAGAAATACAGAAGTGGAAACAGAAAGGGGCAGTTCTGAAGGATGGAGTGTACTCCAACAACCTCAAGTTCTGCCTCCCTAAGAATTTGTACCCAGCAGTCGTACAATGGGCACACGGACCTGCACATTTATCAAAGGATCTAATGAATGCTCTTGTACAAAAATACTACCTCATTGTCCCTATATGAGATTCTATTTGGGACTGCACCTAGGCTAGGTTGCTATTTTCCCCAACAACTACAACTTCAAACTGATGTCTTAGTAGATTATGTAACTGAACTCGCAAACGCCTTAAACAAAATCCATGCCCAAGTTTTCTCTTCAATTCCAGATCCTGATTCTGACACAGGCAACCACAGTCTGCTCCCCGATGACTGGGTTCTGGTCAAGAAATTTGTGCGAAAACAGTAAATGTCCGTTCCAAGTTCTCCTGATCTCCCCTACCTCTGTCAAATTGGCCGGAAGGCCTAACTGGATCCACGCTTCCCATTGCAAGAAGACACCTGCCCCAGAGGAAGCTAACTCTATGCAACCATGTGCCTCTGGTACATTATCTCCTTAGTTGGCCTCCTTAAAGCCCAGCAGGTGGCCATCACCAAAGATGCTAGTGGGTACACCTTCTGGTATAATTCATCATGTACCCGTGTGGCTACTTATACTTTTGACTACTGTGACATCGTAGAATGCCCATTCCCCACGTCACAGATTCAGAATATCTATAGAGATATCCCTCATTCAAAAGACCCCTATGTTTGTGTAGTTGACAAACAATGGGGGCACAACTGTAACCATTGGGGGGCGGCGGGATGGAATGCCGGGCCTGCCTGGGGTTACAAACCAAAAAGTGTCTTATCTAAAATTGATGATCACGGTAGGTCCCTCCTCCAGAGAATGACTCTGAGAAAGCCCGGAGGAGGCATACCTATGAAATTAATCTTAAACATTGAGCATCCCAGCCCAACGGATGCAGACCAGTATGTAATGGGAATGTACTGGAAGAAGGGTTCCTATAATAAATTAGGACATTTCCACCTTAAAGATATGTGCCACTCTCCTGAGTGGAAAGGGACCACCCACATGGTCTCAAATCCGTTGAAACCACACATCCAATCTTTTAAAGACATGATGGCCATTGCAAATCCAACATTTGAAGATACCATGGCCGCTGAAACAGGTTTCAATGATGTTAATCTATGGTTAGAATGGATGAAATATAATGCCAACAAACATAACAGAACCGCATGCTATGTGTGTGGTGGTGCCCGGCCGCACCTGGGCACTGTGCCTTCAACTTTGCCAGTAGATATAGAAGAATGTGTTCTGAGTCTTTTTGCCTATCACTACAATTTCAATAGGTCCATATGTAAAGCATGGACAGTAGAGTATCCTCTTCTAGTCAAAGATTGCAAACCCCCAGATGGTGTTACCATCTATAAAGGTAATTATACCTGTTATGCTAATTATGATGGAATTGGTAAATTTGTGGGTAACTTCTCTAAAGGTTATTGTGCCACCTACAGAACTGTCTCTATGAACCTCCTACAATTCCACACTAGATCATTGGGGGATATTTACTGGTTGTGTGGGGATCTACAGCTGAGATCAAGAATGGATAAAGAATGGTGGGGGGAGTGTACTCTGGCTAAAGCAATCATGCCCATACATATTATCTCTGACACACACCCCGATACTCATGAGTCCAAACACTCACCAACCAAGGTAAAGCGTGAAGCCCCAGTAAAAGGCAGTTTTGACCCTCATATTTACATTGATGCCATTGGGGTACCTAGGGGGGTGCCCAATGAGTTTAAAACCAGGGATGAAGTTGCTGCAGGATTTGAATCACTTTTTACCATAGTCACTGCAAACAAGAATTTAAATTGGATAAATTACATCTACTACAACCAACAACGGTTTGTTAATTACACCAGGGATGCCCTTCAGGGTTTGGCCGAACAGTTGCAGGCTACGTCCCAAATGTCATTCCAAAATAGAATGGCTTTAGATATGATTCTAGCAGAAAAAGGAGGGGTATGTAAAATTCTGCCTGACACCATGACATGTTGTACTTACATCCCAGAAAACACAGGCCCCAATGGTAAAGTAACCTTAGCTATAGGAAAATTGAAAGAGCTCTCTGAGGAGCTAAAGAGGAACTCTGGGATAAAAGATCCCTGGGAGAGATGGTTTGGTTGGATGACAGGATGGCAAAAAGCTTTGATGCATATTGGTATAGCAATACTAATTTTCCTTTTTATCTTTGCTCTTCTCGTTTGTTGTGTCCTCCCTTGTCTGAGAAAGCTCCTCTTGAAGACTGTAGACCAAGCGGCACCCACTTACGCACACCTCACAGTTGATGACCAAGATTTCCAAAAAGTCAACTCGCCCTGTATACCGCTACAATCTATCCCGTTTATTGATAGAGTGCAAGAGTTCTAGGAAGGGACCAGCTTAGGGACAGCATCTGTCTGTCTGGGAAGTCTACCGTGCGGAGATGTGGTGGGTTAGCCACCTCGGGATACCCATGGAGTGAAGTGTTCGAGTGCCCAGCGGACAGATGAGTTAGCCAATTAGGGACAGACGAAGGGACAGCTTTGCACTTTGCAATAACACCTAGCTAGCGGGTCACGGGGTTTCTGTGCCTTTGGGCTAACACGTCTTCTGATACTAACAAATAAAGATTATCTTTTAGAATCTAACATTTCATAGGGGGGACTGATGTAGAATTATTAAAATCTTTATTAGAACCTGTATTGAATTATTGTACTAACTCCATTTTGTTCACCTTACATGACAGAATTTCCTGACAGTATTCAGTATAATGAATAAGAGATTGTATTTTCTCTCTCTAAGGACATAACTAGCCCTGGAGTTAGCGGATCTCCGTTGACTTGCAACATAGTATAATCCAAGGCCAGGAGAACAGTGACAAAATGAAATGTTCTATTCATAAAAGAACCTTGGAACAGACCACGAGACTGACATCACTAACTACGTAAAATGACGCCCAAGCCCCCCTTTCCACCGAGTAAGCCTCGTGCTAAAGAGCAATGGCGACGACATCCCATGATGGGAGGGTGCCTCACTAGTCACTCAAATCTCTGAGCCAATTAATAATATTAATGGGTGGACACTGACATAGCCACTTAACATTTAACCCAATTAATGATGTTTATTTGTTATTATCTGATATTCAATGATGATGTCATTTTGCATATAAAAAGGCCTGCGTGCCCGCTTTTTAACTAGATGCTAATAAATTTCCTGAAGTGTTTTTAACCTGAACTGCATGTGTCAGTGTGAACTTACTTCTGCGTATACGCAATTTATTCATCTCAGATTTGGACAGGAACAGATAGACTTTTAAACATTTTTGTTTATTTCTAAATTAATCTACATCACCTACATATCCATAGATCCCATAAATATCTACCCGAGTAATTAATGCTGTAGCCTGTTCCCTTGCAAAAGGTTTAAATGCCACTTCACAGGCCCTAGAAGAGCTACTTATGGACAGCCAGGCAAATAAGAAGGCAATCATTGAGAATAGAGCAGCCATTGACTACTTACTAATGAAACATGACTTAGGCTGTGAAGCTATTGAAGGTATGTGCTGTTTTAACCTATCTGACCATGGCACTATGATCCATAAACATATAAAAGATTTACATGACTTAGTACAGGCCATCAAACAAGATACTGGCTTCTTTGGGGATTGGGATTGGACATTTGGGCTAGGAACATGGTTAACTTTACTAATTAAGAAGATTTTGTACTTTTTGCTATTAGCTGTATTTGTCATTATGGCTATTTTTCTAACCTTTAGATTTTTTTCACGTCTACTAACCTCTCTATGTCAAAGCAAACCTACTGTTGGTCGTACCTTAACTTACATTCCAGCATCGACTTCGAAAAGGTTTTATGATGTTACCTCGCCTAACAAATGAAGGAACTCTCCTCTGCTGATTCTGGTGGTCTCTCAGTCCAAGGGAACCGTGGTGAAGCAATAAATGAAAGTCCCACAGGCTTTGGCTAGCAGGCCTGGATATACCTTGGACATTTGGGTGACCCTTGGATCAAAAGAGGGGATTGTGATAGAATTTATCTTGATTCCAAGGCTCAAGCTTATAGGTGTCATATAATGATATCCTATATTAAAATTGGCTAACTTGGACTCAGGAAATGCTTGATGCTTAAACAACACTTAAGACCATATATGTCTAAGTTCCGGGAGCAGAGAGCCCCCACCTAAGATGTCTCTGCTCTAATCATTTTGTTCTCTCTTACCTTGAAACTTATTTGTTATGTGTACATGACGCTCATCCCTATGTCTTATCTGTATTCTCTTCCTATTACTGTTCTCAGAGTATTTGCACGTAAGCACTTACTTTTTAATGTATAAAACCCAGCTGATGAATAAAACGGTAGAGGCTTATTTTGAATACCAACAGGTGTCTGGTGTCTAATTCTCGCTTCTCCAAGTGCACTTGTAACAACAATTTGGGCTTCCTCTGAATATAACAAAGATCAACATTCTGATCCACAACAGATGCCTTGCAGTATGTATGTGTTTTGGTTGAACTTGTGAGAGTATGCTGTTGATATCATGCGGTGTGTATATGGTTACCGGATTATGTAAAAATATCAGTGGCTTTGTCCAGGAGGGCAGTAACAGCCGCCACTGCCCACATGAGGGGGCACCCCTGGCAACAGGGTCCAATCTGGTGGAGTAGTATGCTATTGGTCTTTGTTTACCCCCATGATCCTGTGTAAGGACCGATGTAGCATAACCTGATTGCTCAGTACAGAACAGGTTAAAATTATTTCTGTAATCTGGGAGACCCAGTGCCGGAGCTGACGTTACCAGTAACTTAAGGGTATAGAAGGCATTTTCTGCCGCATGGGTTAATTTAAATGGTTTGTTTTCGTTGGCAAGACAATCATACAGTGGTTGCATGTAGATAGCTACGGAACGCAGCCAAGGGCGGCTGTAAGAAATCAAACCGAGGAAAGTACGAACCTGGGCTAAACTGGAGGGGGGGTCTAATATTTTGAACTGCAGTTTTTCTACTTTCCGTGAGATGTTTTATGCCCTGGGAAATGCAATGTCCTAGGAAAATAACTTTCTCTACACATTCTTGCAGTTTCGTTTTTGTCGCTTTACAGCCTGCTTTTTCTAGGAATTTTAGCAAGGAAAGAGTGTTTACAATACAAGATTCTATATTATCGCAACATAGGAGTAGGTCATCGATATACTGCAATAAAATTACGTTATTTGGCCTTTGCCATTCTTCAAGAATCTGGGCCATAGCCATGCTGTACATAGTGGGTGAGTTTTGTGCGCCTTGTGGCAATACTGTCCAAGTGTACTGCTTGTGTTTATGTGTAAATGCAAATAAAAACTGACTGTCGGGAGCCAGGGGGACACTGAAAAACGCATTTGCCAAGTCAGTAACAGTAAATACCTTAGAGGAAGGTGGTATTTTTGCCAACAAGGTGTGTATGTTGGGAACATTAGGAGCAATGAGTTCAGTTACAGCATCAATTGCCCTCAAATCATGTACCATACGGTAGACCACAGGTTTCCCTTTCTCTTGCTTTTTCTTAATTGGGTACAATGGTGTGTTACAAGGGGAGGTGGTCTGGACAACTACCCCTGCCTGCAGAAACTCTTGCACAGATTGCGAAATAGCATCTTCCTGTGCTGGGCTTAGGGGGTATTGTTTTTGATAGGGAGGTTTGGCTCCGGGCAGGAGATTCACTTTGACTGGGGGCACAGAGAGTCCCCCTGTATCTGTCTTCCCTGTAGCCCATAAGGAATCAGGGACTGAGGACAAGTCAATGGTAGGTTCTGGCACATGGCTGGGCATAGTCAGGGCCGGATTAACATAGGGGCTGATGGAGCTGCAGCTCCAGGCCCAGGCTCATCGAATAGGCCCATTGATTTATTTAAAAAAAAAAAAAAAAAAATTTTTTTTTTTTTTTTTTACATTTTTTTTTTCACACACTACTCTTAGGGATTCCACCTGGCTTTTATTTTATTGGCACAGGCAGTATTTGAGGCTGCCTGGCTGGTGCCAATATTACAGTGATACTGGCAATACAAATGCTGGTATTTTTCACAGTATAAACAAGAGATTACTATGCAATACCAGCACTGGCCAGTAGGGGTCACTGTGTGTGGAGACAGGCAGGGATAGGAAGTTTCAGCATATTCCTCCCTGCCTATCTATACTCACTGATCTGCAGGGGTGCAACTACAGAGAGTCCAGACAGCAACTCCCACCCTGCAGAGACAGCCTACAGCTCAGGGAAGTAAGGGATGGGAGGAAAGGCTGCAAGGAGACATACACTGAGACACTAAGGGACACTGGGAGACATTATGGCAGACACTGAGACACTAAGGGACATTGGGAGACATTATGACACAGACACATGGGGACACAGTGTCCCCATGTCTCCCAGTGTCCCCATGTCTCCCAGCCAGTGCCCCTGGTGTCTCAGTGCCCCCTAGTCTCCTAGTGCCCCCAGTCTGCCAGTGTCTCACTGTCCCCATGTCTCCTAG